CCTGTCTGTGCTCCTGCCCTCTGAAGATGCTGGTCACGGATGATGGCGAAAGATTAGGAAACAAAACTTCCAGAACACGGCCACACAGCCCGGAAGACCCACAACAGCCATCGTATTCCGGCCATGAAAGCCTTTGACAATACATAATAGTATGTGTTTGTTTTTTCCTTAAGACTAATGTAGGTTTTTATCAATTCCAGGAGAGAAAAGTCATTCCAAAGTCCTTGGCATTTTTCCAATGAATGCTGTTTATTTGTGCCAAGCACCAGTAAGAAACATATGTATCCAGGATGAACAAGCAAACAAACTAAGCATATTCTGGCAATAACATAAAAGGAAATAAAGACAACAAAATTAGCACAGTGCCTAAAACAAGTTAGCAAATGTGTGTTGAAGAAAACTTTCTCCTTTGGAGATGGAGGAAGGCAGATAGGATCAAGTATCCTCAACTTGATACTAATCAACAAGGAAGACTTAGTCAAGGAGGTGGAAAAAGTAGGAACATTGGGGAAAAGTTACTGTACATGTAAGAGTTCTTGATTTTACGGGAAACTAAAACTGAGTATTGTCAAATGCATATCTTGGGCTTCAACAAAGCAGATTTAATGAATTCAGAGTAATGGTAAGTAGGAATCCATAGTAGGAGAAAATAATGAAAAAAAAAGATACTAAAACCACAATAGCAAATAATTCCACTGAGGAAAAATATGGAAGAAAACAAAAGAGCAAGGGAGGATATGTAATAGAAAAGTAAAAACAATATAAGCACACTCAGCCACAACACAATGATGAATTAATTTCAAAATACCACTAAAGGGAATTCTAAAACATCCTTGCAATGAGTAGATAAACTTTTTTGTATGGGTTGAAAATTTTGGGGAAATGGAAGCCCAATTTCAACTCTGTGTGTGTGTGTGTGTGTGTGTGTGTATTCCCCCTCAAGTCCTGCTATGTTGCCTCACTCTGGCAAGGGGGAAGGGGGCAATGAGCAAAGCAATCAGGAGTGCACATTGTATACATTGTATTTTTATACAAATACAATGTGTGTATACATTGTATTTGTATAAAAAAATTAAGAAATATTCTTAAAGTTAAAATCACTGTCACTTATGATATAATAAATGAATTGGCGGTATCCAGTAATGGAACATCAATGGTTGCAAGTATTAAATAATGTTAAATTAATCCAGTCAGATTTACAGTTGAAATTGATTCATCAAAAGATTTTATTTTGAGTATACTGGACAATCCAAATAATGTATTTGAAAGGATGAATGTCAGATTTTTCTCTATGGGTGATGCAAAAACATCTGAGGGGTTGTTAACTCATATAATTTGGTCATGTGACTTACACTACTGGCATCTTTTTTAGAACAATATTTTAATGTATATAAGTAGATTTATGGAGAAATCTCTTAATGTTAAAGTTGTTAATGTTATGTTGAATTATATTAAAAAATGGAGAATTTGAAAATTTGTGAGAACTTTGATTATATCGGGCTTGCTAAGCAAATTATTTTGAGAAATTGGAAAAACACTATTATTTTGGATATAAGGGACCGGATGCAATGCACATGTAATCTATCAATTTTTGAAAACAGTCCTTCAGCTATTCCAAAAAATGATACAGTATGTTTCCTTTTGGCAGAGATTTCATGATATTTTACAACAATAAAGGTTTTTTTCTTTTTTAATTTGAAATTTTCATATACAGGTAGTCCTCAGGTTAAGAACGCCTGGGTTACAGACGACCCATAGTTAAGAACGGAGCCTACTGTAACAAAATTTGAGTTAAATACACAATGGTTCGAGTTAATTACACAGTACTACTTACAGAGTATTATACAATACTGTTCCGGCTTACATACAAATCTGACTTAAGGACAGACCTTGGAAATGGAACTGGGGACTACCTGTATAGGTGTTCTAGGTACTTGTTTCATAGGTAGGTATTTGTTATACAAGCAATACATCTAGACCGTTTATAATTTTTTCCAGTTTTGCTTATTATTGTTTGTCATTAATCATGTTATTTTTTTTTTACTTTTTTGTATTTTTTTTGTAGTTAGTTGGAAGTTTTGTATTTTTCAAAACTTGCAATAAAATAAATTAAAAAGATGTTAGCTATGGAAAAAAGAGACTCTACTCATGGTATTTGTGGCAGAAATACACAGTATTTCAACATTCTTGATAGAGAAGCTGTGATCAGTAATTTAACTTCTAGGCAGTTCCTATTCTGTGCACTTTTGAATTCTGTTTTTCTTAACTTGACCTAAAATGTAACTCCGTGTATCACTGTCAGTTAGTTAATTTCAGAGAGAAAAATACAAAGTTTCTCTAATGCAGTTTTATATTTGTTTCCTAACATTCATGGAATTTTCTTACTTGTTTGCCAGCATTACTGTATAATGGCTATGATTCAGAATCCTAAAAATACATTCATACACACACACACACACACACACACACACACACACAGCTTGCTGGGGCTAAGCTGACTCACTGAAGCATAGGTGCTAAGATCAGTGGATGGGATTCACTCTGTGAAAGGCAGTAGCTATGGTTTTGGAATGGGTTCTACAAGGAGCACAACTAATCTGTAAGTGAATGTTTCTTCCATTCACAGAGCCACCGTGCATGATCAGCATCCTTATTGTAATTAGCCAAGTAGTCTAGATTTTCCTAGGTCTCCACTCTTACAATCTCCCAAAGAAGAGACCCTGGTCCTTTTTCAGAACCAAAAAGGAAATATATTGACTCATACGGTCTCCGTAACTGGTACACCAGCACTCTATTTTCGTTCCGTAGCACTGAGCACTATTGAGTGCCATACACACCACTTGCTTTCTCTCGTAAAAAGGTAGAATGGGAAATCAATTAAGAGTAACAACAATATCTGTCCTGTTGGAGAATTATGGCAGATAGTTTAAATATATATAATCATTGATACTCTTCACCATGTATTATGTACACCATACATTTTCTTGATAACCAGTTGTATCCTGTTGGACTGGACTAAATGATGAGGGGGTTTCCTTTGGCTGTATTCCAAACCAATCCCTTAGCTTACAGGATACTGACATCAAGGGAGAGAGGATTCCTTCCCCATCTCCTATATTTGCCACCTCATGTATTAGCAGGAGTAGAATGAAGTTAGCACAGTGCAAATTGCATTTGGAACAAATACAGTAACTCTAACAAAGAAAACATAATATCCAGGCAAACCTGAACAGAAATAACAACAGCAGCAGCAATAATTTATTAAATTTATATGCCACCCAGCTCCCAGCAACTCTGGACACTGATAGGCAAATTGTTGTCTCTGGGCTGCATATACCTCTAACTCCTTTTCTGCAGCCTTTTTTGTCCCCCAGCATCCACTACTATTACAAACGTTTTTACATTTTATTGCAATGTCTGAATTCAGCCAGGTCGGGGCTTTGCAAAAATCCATGCAAGGATTTTTGTGCAGTTATTACAATTTAAACAGAAAGAAGCATACATAGAAAATGGTGCTTGACTGTTCCACAAATTACTTACTAGGTCTGCATTTAAAGGAGACTAGGAGGTATTTAGTGACTCCTGGACATAACTCAGATCCAAAAACTCGACTGTTAACAAGGAGTTGGCAGGCTCTCAGGTTCTGGCATTCATCCAGTACTTTCTAAAACAATGACCAAAAAAGAAGTCTTAAAAAACAGATTATAGAACTATACAACAATTCAAATCCTGACAATTTTAGATCCATGCATGATAAATATTACCCACTAATTAACAGAAATAAATTTACTCTTTAGAGTGCTAATACAAGATTTCCAAAGCAAATTATATGAAATAATATTATTAAAAACACATTACTAGGGATGTTTCTCTTCTACAAGGCAAACTTGAATATAAAGATTCAAGTTTCCACTACAGGCTGTTTCATGAACACTAATGCTGGAAAAACAGGAGGCTGCAGTAATGTCAGAGTACCATTTCAGAAACTGTCATCGGAGAAGCCGTCTCTAGATCTACAATTCATTGAACTTGAAGTATATAATTAAACACTGTGATGGTAGTTACTTCTGAGATTACCATTTTTAAACCTCCCCAACCTCACCAAATGAAGACATAGTCAGTCAACTATCAATAAATGAAATTTACACAAAGCATGATGCATTTCTGGCATACATGGCTAACATACTGTAAATTAACTGCTAATGAGGGGCTGTTTAAGGCTTCAGATTTTAATAACTGTGGCATTACTGCTATTATTAGCACTAAGAAGCAAAGTGCTTTTAACCACTGTCCTCAAATTTTTGGAAGTAATATGCCCTGAGCAGAAATATGAAAATTTGGCAAGGCATTACAGTTTGCATGCAAACAAATAAAAGAGAACCAAGAAAACAATAGACGAGAATAAAAGAAATGTCCAAAGAAGTACAATAAAGGGTAATGAAAATTGCTATCTAATATTCTTACATTCCATATTTTTAATACAATCTAGTGACTGGAATTTAAGAAGGGAAAAAGTGTTTAAAAGCCCTCTGGAGCCCCAGATTCAGAAAACAGGTGGCACTTTTTAGGTGAGAAATACATGAAAACTGTAATGGAAGTCCTAACCACCAACCATTCCAGGCATAACAGGTTTAACACAGTTAAAATTCAAAGCCCTCAAAATTCCCCCCAAGAAAAAAACCAACAGAAATCCTTTAATTTTATAAGTGATATGAACTTCAGGTTGCAATTTCTATGCTTCCTTATTGGACTTAAGGACCCTTCCACACCCCCAACATTTCCATCCATAACCAGTTCCTCAGAAAGCCATTTGAAAGCAAGCCACAATTATTTTCACCTATTTCAGCCTTGAAAGAAGAAAACCAGCAAATTACATAAATCAGTCAATATTCACCTTCTTTCCTGCAACTGACCAAAGGGAAAATGCAAATACTGTAACCCAAATGATACCCCTTTCCCAGAGCTGGAATGACAAAAATCATTCCATACAAAAAGGAAACAGAATAAATTGTTAGCATCCCTTTCTCTGTGTTGTGGTACTTATATCTCTGTACATTTGTTTGGTGAGTTTGCAAAAATCCTGAAAGACAGCTACGGAGGTAAGGTAATTTGTAAACAAGGTTTTAAAATGCACTGAAATCTCCTGAAGACTTCTGTGCTGCCTTGCCATCATCACTCTGTTGCATTTAAAAGCCTCATGAATTGCAAAATAAAAGTATAGGATGCCCACAATTTTATAGCCAGATGCTTTTCTCAATAGCTGTAACACAGCAACTGAATTGGGGGAGCAGAAATATAAATCCCAAACACTGAATATAGGAAAAGACAAGATCCAGGAATAGGATGCTAAATATCTGTGAGAATGGGTGAGAAGAATTATGGCTGGCCTGAGCCCAGAAGCTGAGCAAAAGGAGTTCCGACTGAAACACCTGAAGTCTGCAGAGCCACAGCAATTTTGGACTGATTTCCAATAAGTAAGTCCAGAGTCAGAAAGAAATAAATGGAGCTCCCAAAATAAACAATATTGTGAGATTAATCAGGTCCAGAACTGATTCTGAAGTGGTGCAGAAGAATAGTCTGGAAGTGTCGTAAGGCTGTTAAATTCAGTGGTGTGTCCCTTTGGATAGGACTGCTAAGGTTTAATTGGGAATGCAACAAACTCTGACCACTAACATGCTTGAGCATGGAGATGATCTGAACACTCATAGATTAAAATTTTCCTTTAGGGCTTCAGTAAAAGATCCTATTTATATAGTTTTTATTCTGAATACTTATGTTATTTTTCTATTTGAGACCTTAAATAGGAATAATCAGATTTGTTTCTAAGAATATTTTGGTGTATTTTGGAGCAATTGGAGGTCTTTTCAAAAAATTAAAATAAAACCAAATATCTTTCATTTCAGCCCAGTATGAATATATTCTGCATGGCTGATCAGCTGGTTTTTTTTTAATGTGAGCTATTAAGTGGGCTTCAAAGAATTTATCTGTATTTGCCTTGCTAGATCGTTGAAGGTTTTTTAAAGGCCAAATTTAGTCCTAATATTAGCAAATTACAACCCTTAAGCATCACCTTTATATCCAAGAAAGATTTTAATGTGCATTGGGCTCGAGAAGGTCTCTTAGGAAAAAGATGGTGGGTGGTTGCAATGCTTTGCTTGAATGTGTTCTTACCTACCTAGGAAAAGGACAGAAGGAAGCAGTGATGTATAGACCATCTACCACCACAAAAAGCGTTGGAATTTCTGCTTAGCAATAAGAACAGTCTATCTGTCTGATGATTCATGTAGACTGAATGCTGAGTGCTCATTCTTACTGAAGTAAAATAAAAGCAATTAACTGTAATAGCAATCCTGAATAATTTTTCAGGTCTTTATTTTGGCTTCATGTTCTTTGAGTACCTTTTATACTCAAATCTAGCTTGTAACTAAGGTGTCATACTCTGTTCCTCTTTTTTCTTTTGAAAGCCATCAAAATGATACTAAGCTAAATATGGATTAGAAGAAGACTGGTTTACCTGCTTATAGCAGAATAATACTTCCAAGATTCCCCTCCCGCCCGCCAACAAAAAAGTATGTGGTTTTATTCCCTTTTACTGAATGAATCCTAGATGTGGAATGTTATATCTTTTGATCTTGTAACTCCCAACTTCTTTGAATCAAGAATGCTAAACTAGAATAATGCTCAAATATCTTATTTTTCCACTAATGTAGCAGGATAAATGCAGAATGGTGTAAAAAAACCAAAGCCCAAAACAGTGAGCTTGCTTCTAAACTCAGCCTGGAATATGAAGTCTCAACCTACAATCCTGTCTACTCTGAAGTAATTGCATCCTTTACAGTTCAATGAGATGTATTTATGGGTACCTAATGAATACAATGAAGGCCATGTGTGAATATCATGCCATTTAGGAGGATTAAGGATCCTACAGTGTGGGGTATCTTCAAGACTGACTAAATTTGTTGACATTTCTATTCAGGAAATGATTTTGCTATTCTTTATGTTGTTATTTCTAAATTGCTCTAATTAGGAAATAATCCTTGCCTTAGAAGAGGACAGTATTAGCAACATTGCCAGAAATGGTAAATACAATTAGCCTATAGATGATGAAGTGACAAGATGACTGGGCTGTAGCATTATGATGGCTTGGGACATAAAAATGCTCTTTAAGTATCTCCAAGAAGAGAGTCAGAAATGCCAAAGATGAGACATCAGAAATTCTCTGTACTTGATCCTCTGAATTGTTATAGCCTAGTACTAGTAGAAGTCTTGCTACAAAATTGGCTGGTTGATATTTCAAAGTACTTATTATTAGTAATATTCCATTATTCTTATCAGTACTAGGCTATACAGTCTGTGGCTGATTTAAAATTTGGAGCCAGAATTGTTTTGTTGGCAATATAAATTTAAGTCTTTCAGAAAACTCCACTGACCTAAACTAATGCCAAGACAATTCTGTCAAAACTAGTGAATTGGCACAAATTAATGTTGGACCATTGGGCATGAATCTTAATAGACATTCACATTGTTGGATGGTCTTTTGTCCCAATCTGTTTGGCAAGAGAGGAACTCAGACAGCTCATTCAGCAACTGAGTCTGTGACAACTCCTCCCCTCGCCCCAACTGGATTACACTTGTGATGATGAGATCCTGCATCAATGTATTTTTGGATAGCTTGTGCCACTGTACTTAACTAGAATCAAACTTCAATCAGTTTCATTTAAAAAATTATGTACTTTAAAATGTGTCATTTTATAATTTTTGAACAATCAAATATCAACTTTAAAAGTACTCAGATATATTCTCTGTATCAGTATGAAAAAATTGTTTATTCTTAACTGAACGGACAAAATTCTGAAGATATTTCATCTGCCAAGGCCTCATAATGAATTATATACTTACAAATCCTACAGAAAAACTAAACCTACTCATCTGCAAGCTTAATCAACCTTAATACTAATGTTCCAGATATAACATGCTGAAACTTCAGTCATTTTATTTTTTCTTTAATCTACTATAAATAAATTATCTAAAATACTTCTGATTTGTTTAAAATGCTACAATATAGTATTTTATACCTGCAAGGTAGTAGGTGCCACACAGTTTAGTGGCTCTTTCATCATGACTTCAGGCTGTTGTGCACTACACAAGTGGTAAGCTTGCCCATAATATGCAGATTGGACACTTATTGTTGAATGCCGAGGACACTGGAGACTCAAATGATCACCGTCACAGGCATACACAGTATGGTTTCGCAGGAGTTTGGTTAGGTAACCTAAAAAATATTTAGCTGTGTTACATTTAATGAAGCAATATTCCTTTCCCTTCTAAATTTGAAATGAAAACTATCAACAACCTTTGGCTTGATTAATTGTTTGGGATGCTAGGAAAGGTCCACTTATCTTTAAGTTGGAACAAAACAATGCCAGCATAAAATTTGCTGTTCCCATTGCTAATCCCTGCCCTCTTCAACTGTGTCTATTTCAAGTCTTAGTAAACCGTGTTGCTGAATGGTGTTGTGAGTGTGCCAGGCACATTAGTGGCAAAGTGCCTTTCTCCTCTGGTTTCGTTGCCAGAATCTCATCAGCCACAGTGGAAAACATCCAACACTGCACAGTAATGGGGAGAGTCCAACTTCAGGCTCCTCTAGGCTGATTTCTGTACCCTTCCAACCACATCCTATTTGGGCATATCCCAAGTTAAAGTAATGTGAAATAAAGACACCATGACAAAAATAGGTCCCAAGGGGAGGGAAGTGAACCCTTTTATGGTTCTGCATGTGACTAGATCCCCTACAGTGGGAGAAATGAACTGATTATCTGCTGGGCTACTACTTCATCAAAAGTGGACATGATTGAAAGTGACAAATACAGAGGAAACTGATAAATAAGCACAAATACATCTCATCTGCTCTCTCTTCCTCTACCATGCTAGAAACCTGGAGAGGTTGGTGTCAAAACAGAGAAGGAGAGAAAATATGATGTTTTAAATGGGAACTCAAGAAATAAAATGCTCATGGAGAAGGCAAATGGAGACTGACTAGTGAGAAGAAATAGCATGTCCACATCTCCCCATACACTTAAAATATTCCTCTTATCACAATCACAAATGGCTATCAACCTTGTCTCAAGGTAATGGATTGCAAAGTATAGCAGATTTTACATGCTTTGGGGCTATCCTTGGACAGTGTCAGAATGAGGATATTATTTTTATAATGACACAGGGAATGAAGACTTAATGCTGTCTCACTCATGGACTGGGGACAAGATAAGGACAATTATATGGGAATAAGGGGGAAAATTGTCAGAGTATGACTATGCCGGGTTAAGTGCAAGTGCAGACAGGACCTTAGTTATACATGTTATCAACCCATGAACTAAGGCAGACGTGTTTACCTTAACTGGTTCTGCTTTAAGTATGGCTATGTCTGAATCTTTACAAGCTACAATATTTTTCAGATAATGAAAAAATGATGAGGTGCTTAATCCTACAGTCTATCCAATTCTTTCAACATTTCTTTACAGGGCTTGTTTTCCATATCCTTGCCACCACTGCCTTCTGAACTCAGTCCATTTTCTCAGTATCTTTAACCTGTGGCATCAAGAACTACACAGTACTCCAGGCGAGGTTGGATTAATGCAGAGTAAAGTGGAACTATTACTTATCACCTGGGATGTCTCCTATAAAAAATTATATTGTGTAATCATTCCTCCTCATTCATGGATTTGTTTTGTTTTGTTTTTCCCCATCAATTTTCTGTTTCTTTACAGAAAATAAAAGCTATTAATGAGAGAAATATCATTCCATTAATGTAGCCCAAAATTGCACTGACTCTTTGGAGAGTGGCATCATACTGGTGATTCATATTTACCTTGTGATTGAGTTGGCATTCTTTTCACCAACCACTGCCAAATTGCTTTCCCCCAATCAATATTAATGAATCCCCATTCACAGCATAGTTCAATATCCCCCTCCCCAAACACAATTTTTACGTTGTTTCCAACATCTACATTCCTCACCCGAGGCAGGAAAAAATGCCTGAATTTTTCAGTGGCTATTTGTCAAAATACAGTGGTGTGATTTCTAGTGAGCTGTCAAAAGGATTCCGAAGCTGCATATAGGCCATGGTCTACCTACCCTCTCCCCTTAGAGCAGACCCCCAAATCTCCTTTTTGCAGCTCACAGAGCTACCTCTGGTCATTCCACTGAAAATTTGACAGCAGGGTTCTGTTATTTTGAAGTAGGAAACATGTGGAAAGTAATGTAAGCTCTAAAATAAGAATATAACAAAAAAAGAAAGAAAACTCCTAAACTCCCACCAAAAATCCTGCCCTTCCCCCTCCAATTATGTGGATCTCTACCTCCCCAAATGTATGTTTGTTTGTTTGTTTATATTTCAAATTTAGATACCGCCCATCTCACAAAAAAGTGAATCTGGGCAGTTCACAATAAAGCAACAATAAATATTAATTAAAATACAATAAAAACAATATCAAATACAATAAAAATAGAATAAAAACCAGACATGTTAAATGTTAATGTTAAATATGTCCCTTGGCCACCAAATGTTTGGCCACTCCTATCTTCGAAGAAAAGCAACTGCCATCTTTATTTGCTCACTTGCCCTTTTTTTTTTACTGGGAGGTGTTGAAGAGGAGTGAATTGGGCCTAAACTCCACCACACAACCTTTACAGGGAAAGCACAGCTGACAGATGAAGGGTGAACAGGCAGAGGTGGCAGCTTATGCTCAGTGTAGAGTTGCCTGGGATGGGATGGGATGGGATGGGATGGGATGGGATGGGATGGGATGGGATGGGATGGGGATAGGACAGGACAGGACAGGACAGGACAGGACCAGACCAGTTCTGTCTTCCTGCCCCTTGCTCTTTTCCAGCAGCTTCTGCAATGAAGACAAAAAGAGAAGAGAGAACTATTTGTTGCTTCATACTGCTTTTCTTGCAAGTTAACAGAGGTTGTACTCTTCTTCCGTAAATATGTGTTTTGTTTATGTGCAATCACAGCCTCTGAGGAATTGCAAGTAGCATCTCCACATGACACTGAAGAATTTGGGCCTACGTCTATGTTAATTTGGTTTCTTATCTGTTTGGAACAAAATGTTCCCATGTACCAAGCAGCCCAGTATTCCCTTGAGGATATTAGCTTTTGAATGAGTTTCTGAGCATTTTAGCTGCTATTTTGAACCTGCAAATTCCTATCCCTGCACCTAAGCACTTTTTGCCATCAGTTGCATTATTCAGTGGCTCCATGGATGGTACAATAACATTTTGTCAGATAAAAATGAAAAATACCAGGTGCTCAATAGGACAGAAATTTTATTCCTTGAACTGTCATTTAAAATGTAAGTGATATTATTGCAATATGTGCACAATGAAGGATGAAAATAGCTATGGGATTTTGCTGTTTCCATATGATAAGGAAACTTGGTGATATACTGGTATATGGATTGCTTTATTCAGGTCCTCCAGTCTCCAAAGACACTAACAGCTTATATAACACCTATCTCTTCTTTATTTATTTATTCAAATTGATATCGAACTGTAGCTCTGTTTCTTGCCCAGAATTAAGAGAAGCAGCAGAGCCACAAAACAACTGTTCAGTCATAACTATGTGCAGATAACTCAAAATTATTTAAAGATCTAATTTATTTCATTTATGGAATCCATTCTGATTATGTTGTTTTGGCAAGATATTAACCTTGCAATATGTGGAGTGGAAGGGTAAGAAAGGAGGCGGGAATGTGCTGCTGAAAATATGGGGTCAGGAATTAAAATATCTTGGGGAGGTTGAGTAAAGTGATGAGTACAGAAGTCCCTTCTTTGTAATTGTCCAAAACTGCAGCTCCGATGTTTCCTTGGTTTCTACCTCTGCAGCATCTGTTCTCTACAAAACATTATGAGGCCAACAAACTTACTTTAAAAGTTCACACAGATATTGTTAGGAAGCCAAACGTATTTGATTCCATTTAGAGTAAAAGATGGGAAATACAGAATACCTTAGTCCTGGCACATCTTTGACAGGTATAGCTGAGCTTTCTGCTTTCTCCATCTTGAAGTTAAATTCCTAATATGAAGCCAACAGAATCTATAGCTGTTAACTTTAAGTTAATGAGAAGCAAAGGATCTTATTCCTTGGGTCCTCTCTTAATTACAGCTTATAGCTATATTTAATCAGGAGAAAAACAAGCCTCAACAGGAAATCACTTAAATTGAAATCTTGGATTTACACTGACTTCTGAGGGATGGTTTTCAGTAACTCTAAGTACTGGTTGGTCCAGTCAGATCCTGTTTCTTGGATCTATACCTGCAGGGGCTGTGAGAAATTTTCTGTAAATATTGCCAGAGAATTATCAGCTTCATACACACCCTATGCAAGCTTCATATTTTGGCAAGGAAGAGCATCCAACCAAAAAAGAAGAAAAATGTTTCAAATAGGCTGCATCTTCTGGTCCTTTTCATGTTGTCTTAGATCACCATTTTCTAGTATCATTCATTTAACAGCCAGGTGGGAAAGTCAGTTTCTGCCACCACTCATGGAGCCCATGAATGAACAAATGAGCAGCTGCTCTCTTTCCCCAGCTATTGGCCAGATCAAGAGAAAGGGTTAGGGTTAAGGTCAGAAGATCTTCCTTGAGCAGCCTTGCTCTTCCTTGGACAGACATGCTAGGTTCAGTGACATTCCCAGTTTTTTGCCATTTGTAAGAATCCTTTTCTTCAGCAGAAAAAGCACATGCAGTTTATCAAGGTGCAGTCTATCTTCTGATTTCCCACACAAAATCAGAAAATACAGAACACATTTAAGCAAGCTTATTGGATATCTTACTATCACAAAACTTCAAAAATAGAGAGCCATTGGGTCTTGGTAGTGGGTCATGCCTCTAACAATGGATAGCAATTCCTATGTAGCCTCTTCTCCGTCATGAAATCAATGGAAGTACGATTGATTGTTCCCCAGACCCAACTCCTTCATATTTTGTCCTAAACAGTGGCAGTTTTAATGGCCCAACAGAGTAGGTCATATGCAGGCCATTTGCGACCCTTGAATCTCTTAGCAATAATAAATATATATTATTGCTAAGAAAATAAATGGAAAATAAATGGAAATAAGAGACAAGAGAACCTGGAAATAAAATATATAACGAATATCTAAATTTAACCCTGATTTCAGCTTCAGGCCAAGTCCAGATAGCCTTCTTTCCCACCTTCCCCTGAGCCCAGCACCTCATTGCTGTTAATGAAAAACAAACTTGAATAAAG